CAAGAGTCAGGGTGGCTTCTGGGTAATACCAGATGGCTAGGCCTCAGACTGACGAAGCCTCTTGGATGAGGGGCGAAACGTTTCTTTTTAACAAAAAAAACGAAGTCCAGATGACATGATTCAACCTTTCTTGTTGTTAATGGACTATAGAGGTTATCGGCAGTAGATGCACATTCAATAAATGAGTTTCAGTGACATCTAAATGTATATTTTAACTGTAAAATTTGAAAGGACCAGAGTTTAACTTGAGCTGTTTATCTCCATCAGGTGGGAGAGTTTAATACTGGTCGTCATGTACGCCGGATACATCCTCATCATGAAGTGAGTGCCGCACATTCTCCAAACGCCGTTGTTTGTTCATGTGAAATTATAACGAGTTCTGCTTTACTCCTGCTCACAAAAATATGCGAACTGAGTATAAATGGCCGTGCTCGCAAGAGGGCTCTGTTTCCAGCCGGAGGAGAGCATCCCATTTGTCTGCTGCCCAGAAGGAGCAAGTTTTCCACAGGATGACTTTTGTCATGTTGCTAACAAAATAAAAATATTGCAACGTTGGTGGGTTTTGAGTTTCACAGATTTTATTTTTGTAAACTATAATTTGAAGCTTTCTTTCTTCAACAAACCTTTTTTTTTTTTTAATCATTTGATTTGTTCAATGGGCACCAAACTGTTTGTACTTTAAAATAATTGAAGTCATAAAGGCTATGTGTTATTCCCAGAGATGGCACCCTCCATTAAGTTTAATTTCTGTAAGTCCAGACTGAAATAATGCCAACCATGCTGGTCTGCGCAGCTGATAATCTGTGCTACACTCAGCAGCAGCCTGCTCTCGCCACAATAAGAGTTTAATCTATTTTTTATTTTATTTTCCCCACCGCAGTGCCTAAGAGCACAGGCTTAACCGGATCACTCCTCTCCTTCCTCATTTGGACGAATAAATGCTTACTCTAGGATATTCAGTCATGTCTCCGCTTCTCCCAAAATATCTGCTGACAATTTTGGGTTGTTGGAGTCGAAACGGGCCAGTGTGGGTTTAATATAGCACAGTGAGTGCTCTGAAATGACCTTCTGGGACACTAATGCGAGGTAGTATTTCCCCATCCTTATCAAATGTGGCCAGATAAAAGCCAGGAATAAAATCTGGATCTTGTGGCCGTTCTATTTGCTTGCTAGAAATAACGCATCAAAATTGACGAGCTTGGCAAATTTTTATTGTTTAATCTATTTTGAGCCAAACGAATAAGATTATTACTCTCCCCAATATGTTCTTTTTAGCTTTGTTCACTGGACCACTATACTTGAGGGAGACCTTGATTAAGGCATGTAAACGGTTTGCATTGGTCCATTAGACGGGTTAGGATAGGTTTATTTGTCATGTGCAAAATCAACACAAGGTCAACAATGCAATGAAATGCTTATAACGAGAAGGACCATCTCGATTCACCAAAATAAAATGAAAAACTACAACAGCAAGACGAAATATCAAAGCATGCAGATGCAGCAAAAACACAAGTATTACTATAATACTAAAAATAAAAACAAGGCACCAAAGTTGAAAAAGAAATAAATCTACAGTGTGATTCGGTTAGCGGTGAGGTTCTTTCAACATCATGGTTCTGTTCTGTTAGTGGCACGGTCTTGTTAGCAGGTCCGGTCAGCAGCTTGAGAGTAATAAGGACCGCAGCAGCTGCCCTCACAGACCGCAGTCCAGAACCAGATCCAGCTGACCGAGAACATCCCAGGTTTCCCCGTGGAACCGAACGGGTCCGTACTGTGTGTGCAGGTAGATGGAGGATCTTGTTAGCGGGTCCAGTCAGCAGCTTTGTGAGGGCAGATGCTGCGGTCGTTACCACCACCGACTGCAGTCCAGACAATCGTAAAGGTTTAAACAAAAGGAATTTCTACTGCTTTACTACCTCAGTCTCCATGATCCTCGATCTGCCTGCACGGACCGAACTCTATGGAACAGTTCTGATCCACAAGGAAACCGTGGCTGTTCTGTGTGTGCCAGACCCATTACTGGAGGGCAGTCGTAGCAGTCATCTGTTGCTGCTGTCGTTATCATGCTGCTAACAAGACCACACTAATACCATGGTGCTAACTGTTGGATGAATTAAGTAAACTTTCATCATCTCTTTACTCAAACCGCTCCGAGGAAAAAAAAAATTAAACTGGTCTTGTAAGGGTAGTTTCATGAGGAAGCTTTCACAGATGCACCAAAGTTACACGCTTCAGTGAGAAGTTGTGCCGGACAGAGGCAGGGAAAGCTTTAATACATGTTGTCAGACAGACGAGGTCAAGATGACATCTGCTTTCCAGCTTACAGACAAGGAGGCCTTGGCGTTTATCAGAGAGGAGCCTGCTGTAGACGTATTTTTATTTTTGGCGCTTTGTTTTTGTTTTTGTTGCATGCTTTTTTGTTTTGCGATTTGAGACTGTTCTTCTCGTCCTGAGCATTTCATTGCATGATTGACCTTGTGTTGATGTGCATATGAAAATGACATATAAAGCTGAACCTACTTCTATTAACCAATTTAAAGGGAGGGTGCCCCAGAGTCCACTGAAAGTAAAGTTTGAGGCGATTCCATCCAAAGAGTAGCTCAGCTGGACTTGCACTGTATCCTGCACGTGTTCCTATAGAATTTGTAGATGCAAGATGATTTGACAAGAGAGATCTGTGTGAGTCGAGGTGTCCAACCCTGGTCCTCGAGGACCACCGTATCCTGCACGTTTTAAAGTTTCCTGCTCCAGCATACCTGATCTGAATTGGTGGGTGATTAACAAACATTTGCAGAACTCTGTGGTAATTAAACTATTGAATCAGGTGTGTTGGAGCAGGGAAATGAGAAGCCTTCAGGACTGTATCCCTCGAGGACCAGGATTGGACACCTCATGTGTAAAACCATTAAAGAACTAACTTGAACAAAGAAGAAGCCACCCAAAGGACCTGACTTAACCTTGTTAGACATTATAGAACTAATGTATCATTCTGCAACACTTTTTTCCTTTAATCCTTCATGAATTAAGCATTTTGCCATAGTTTTTCTGGCTACAGTGAGCTGCTGTTCTGTAGCTGCGTGGAAACAAATTCAGGTCCATTTTAATCAAAATATTGCCAGTTTCTCTCCGTCTACCAAAATGCACCTCGGCTCTAACGAGAACTGCACCCTTATGATGCAGCATTCTTTTGTAACTGTGGGTTTGCTTCTGATTTTAGCTGTGACTCACTGAGTTTTCATGGTTCAGGCTGATTTTTAGCAGTTGTGCACATGTGCAGACATTTTAGCTGCATGTTGTCGTGTCATGCAAGTTGAATGCATCTGTAACAGCTGTCAATCCAAACGGCACAGCTGGAGAAGCAGCTTCAGCTGTCACAACAAACGGCTGCATGCAGAAATTTAAGTTTAAAGGAGACTCTATGTGATTTAAATGACATATACTGTAAGTGTAACTAGAGCAATTGCATTTCCTGCAAAAATGCTGTGAACGCGTATTGCTTAAACTTGGCTTAAGAACAGCTAAAATTGGTTATAAACATTCTGAAATCTAGTTGAAATGAAAGAAAAAGCATAAGTTAGCAGAAAAAAACCGAACACATTTGCTGAAGTAGGTTTAAATAAGCAGAAATGAGCCCCCCCCAAAAAACAAAGAAATTACCTCAAAGCTGAAATTGGCAAAATAATAATTAAAAAATAAAGCTGAAAAGTAGCTGAAAAGACTGAATGAAGCTTAAATTCCCAGAAGGAAGTGGAAGGAGCTGAAATAAATTCAAAATGTGGAATTGGCTGAAAAGGCTAGTACAAAATGTCCAAATAGCAGCGGCAGAAAAAGCTGAAAAAACATAACAGAAATAAGCTGAAAGGAACATGAGCTGAAATTAACTGAAAATTTAATTGGGCTGAAAGTAGCAGAAATTACCACGCAAAACTTGTATTTATCTGAAAATGGCTTAAATTAGCTATTTAACCCCCTCCCCCGCCCGCTAAAAACTAGCTGAAAGGTAGAACAAGTTTAAATTGGCAGAAGAAATAAAACATGCAATTCCAATTAGGCTGAAAGAATCAAATGAGCACAAGGGAAATTATCAGGAAAAAATGCTTAAATTGGCAAACAAAAAACTGAAAAGTAACTTAAAGCATAAACAAGTTTGAGTTAACAGAAGGAAGTAGAGAGCACATTTTTGCTGAATTAGGCTGAAAAAAGTTAAAATAAGTGCAAAAAAATATGGAATTGGCTGAAAAAGCTAAAATTAGCATAAAACGGCTAAATGGCAGCTGAAATTGCAGAAAAAAACCTGAAACTTGTAGAAAGAAGCTGAAAGAAGCATAAGCTGAAATTAGCAGAAATAAGTTGGAGGTACAAATGTACTTAGCAGAAAGAATCTGAAAGAGCACAAAACAGCTGAAAACTCCCCCAGCTGAAATTAGCTGCAAGTAGCTGAAAAAGGTTAAATTTGCATAGAACTGAACCAGACCAAAATGTGCAAGGAGCAGGAAAAGGTTGTAAACTGGTTTAATGATTTCAAGGATGTTAAATGAGCTCAATTAATTTTCTGAGGGGGGAAAATGGCAGGAAAGGCTAAATATTCAAAAAGCTGAAGCTGCACAAATACAAAGTCATATCAGGATTTTCCTGAACGAGCTGAAAGTTTTTGATTTCTTGAAATGGCATAAAATGTGATCAGTTTTTCTTCCGTACATTTTTCGGCATCTCTCGTTCCACAGCAGTTTGAATGCTTCATAAACGTTCACACTGAAACCTGACGGACACGTGTATCTGACAGAAGCTAAATTGTTTTAATGTTAACACAATTCGACGCATTATGTTCTGGTTTGGTTTTGTTAAAAACTCAAAATGCACATCAAAGGAAAAGCAAAAAAACCAAAAGATAAAAAAAAAAAAAAAAAAACCTCTAAATCCCATCTCTCAAACGGTTCCTTAATATCAAAGAACTTTTTCCAGCTGTAATGTTTTCTGAAGGTGTCTGAAATGAAGCTGCTCGTAGAACGCTGCCCGTGTTACTTGTGATTACTGTGTTCAAAGGCGGCACCAGTTCTTTCAGCGTTTGAGGTCCATTTTTATGTAATTGCACTGAAATGGTCTCACTGAAGGAGTGGAGCAGAAAGCCTTGATTGTCCCCAAGAAACTTTTGGTTTTCTTTTGTTACAACAGAACAGCACATATATAAAGCTTATTTTTTTTAAACCACAGATGCTGTTGAAAAGTGAGACGTAACGAAGGATTACATTTTGAACATTTTGTTCCAACATGAAATGCCTGCTTAAAAAAAAAAAAAAAAAAAAAAGCTAATTGAGACTATTCAGATATTTTCTTTAATCTTCCAGATTCAACTCCAGCATGCAGCAGTTCTTCATGGGGAAGCCAAAGAAAAATGTGGCCAACGGTAACGCTGCGACCAGCAGTGAAATGGAGGACGGTAATGATTGTTTTGACTATGTTGAGGATGATGACCCGTCATCACCTTTACTCTCAGCAGGTAAGGTTAATCAGACGGGCAATGTTAAATGGAGAATTAAGTCAATTCTAAGCTTGTAGATGTTTTCTGAGGGTTCTGTGGATTGAATCTTTGTTCCTTTCTGCTGAAATAACCAAAACCGCTTCAGCTAATAACGTTTTGGGCTAAAACCTTTGTAACACATTAACATTTTCTCCATCTTGATATTTTGCAGCAGTATGCCGAAGTACATTTTCCTAGATTTAGATTTGGCATACAAGCCTAAATTTATTTTGTAAGTGAAAACATCATAGGACAGGGGTGTCCAAACATTTTCATATGTGGGCCAAAACTCCAGATGAAAGGACTCGTGGGCCACAAAAATGTGAATTTAACTCTACGTGAACAATATTTTGGAGAAGGGACAAAAGTTTTCTAATTTTGGTGGAGAAAGTTTTAAATTGTTGTAGATCCAAAACATTCTCAAACACTAAGCTTATTTATTTATTTTTATTAAAAAGGATTTGATTTGTTGGGTCTGTTTGGAAAGTTCATTTTAGTCTGTTCTCACAAACAAAAGTGAATTTTCAGTTAAGTGTCCTTTGTTTAAAAAAGGGTCAATCAGCCTTTTGGACCATCCATGGCCCAAAAGGCTGATTGAAGTTCTGAAAAATTGTCCAGATGTCGGTTGCTTCAACAGATTCAAAGGTTTGATCAAGTTGATGCAGATGTGAACTTCATTTGTGGGCCGCACAAAATCACCAAGGGCCACAAATGGCCCTCAGGCCGTGCTTTGATGTTGATGTCTCGTATGTAGATGTAGGCCTGTCGCGATAAACGATGCATCAATTAATCGCATAATTGAAAATTATTGACCTCATTTTCATTTATCGGCTTTATCATTTCTTCGTGTCTCTCTTTCTACTGAAGACACTGGATGACAAAAAGCTCAACTCTGGTGCTCTTCACTGACCCCTTTCTCTTTTCTTTTTAAAATCCATTTTAATTGTCAAATTGTTTTTTGGATCGTTAAAAGCTGCTAAGCCGAGAAGCTAAGCTACGAGCTAAACTAACAGGCCGACCTCAGGAAAAAAACTCTTGTCAAAGCTCCAAAATTAATGTTTGAAACGTGCCTTTTGTCTATAAAGTTTTTTTTCCTCTGCAAAAAGAAGCTGAGAACTTGTAAAAAAAATTTTTTTCTTCATTAAGATTTGTGAAAAATGCTATGCTAAAGAGCTCAAATCATAGAGCGTCTGCCATTTTGAGAACCAAAAAACCAGAACAAGAGGCGGCCCATGTCGCGTCAAGGGGCCTCCCTCCCATTTTTTCAAGATGCTGCTCGCTCCCTCACTATCCATCCTTGGGTTCAAACTATTATACTGCCATCCAGTGGTCAGAAAAAGGTACTACACACAAAAATTAACTTTTTTTTTTTTTAAATTTGACACTAATTACTAGTTGTCAAATTTCAAACAATATTATCGTTTAGCGCAATAATTGCCGAGACAATCACCAAGCAAAACTTATCGTGACAGGCTTATGTAGATGATGCCATGTTATCATTTAAAAAATGTCCAGTTTCCCTCTTGATTTATCAACTGTAACATTTAGCCCAGTTTTATGAATCATTATCCAAAAGTCTCCTTTCTGGTAGAAATCAGTAAAGGTTTTTGGTGCTTTGTACCATGAAGCGAAAATAAAAAATTATAGCCAAATGTTTGTATTTGGTTAATATTGCTCAGTTTGAGAAGGTTTTTCCTCTTGAACCTAAATAACATAAAAGATTAACGACTAATTTGCAGAAAGTCTGCATCAACCTCGTAAGCCTGCTTTCCAAATCATGCAATTCTTGAACTTCATTTGTGGGCCGCACAAAATCACTAAGGGCCGCAAATGGCCCTCAGGCCGTGCTTTGGACACCCGTGTCTTAGGATAATGTTTTGACTATATTAATCTTAAGACTTTTGATCTACTAAACCTATTAAAGCCTTATTTGTGTTAGAGTAGATTTGGGCTTTATTCCTTCTCAGCCCCCTCGTTCTGCCTCTCGGCTCTTAACTTCTAACATTTTGTAAAATCTTCTGGAAATCACAACCCTTCTCTCTGACTGCGTTAACATGCCTGTCTGTTTAGCCTTACTAAACTTATCCTTGCTCGTTGTCAACAGTGTTGTGCTGCTGTGTGCCAAATATTTTCTGCTTGCATACTACTTTTCCTTCTGCTGGTCTCTGGAGCGTAGACCTCCTCACTCCTGAAGTGGTAATGAATTTCACAAGAGAATGTTTTCTGCTGGCTCTGTTTACTTTGTTAATTTATGTGCATCAGTGCATGCATAATAAGTCAAATTAAGGCAGAGTTAGAACTAACAAGTGTACTGTAAAACTTGTTTATTCCTCGTACACTAGTTGTTAAAACTCGTTCCCACTGGCATCGCAATCGACAAAGACCCACCTCTTCATTTGGCAACTTTTTTAAATATAAGATTATGGTTCCAAGTAGTTTATTGATTCAGGATGAAACTTTATATTTTTCCCAGTCAGTTTCAGTACTTAAATATTTAGCTGATGTGTAAACTTCAAAGTTGCAGCAGGCAATTTGGGAATGCTATTTGAAGTTTAGTATCCTGAAATAACCCAAGCAGTTCAAAACACATTAACTAACCCTTATATGGATCCTTAATGGAGTAAATATGCATCAAACACTAGAAGAGTTCACCAATTTCAGAGCTCTTCACCCATCTAAAAATTTCAGTTGCATAACCACTGTGTTGAAGTTTTTAAAGATTGTCACGTGAGCCACATGTCGAGGCTTGTTCGTTTTCCGATTTCATAATTAAGTTCTAGAATATTGGAACGTCTGTTAAAACATGATAAATTTCAAAAAACTTTTACAATAACCAATAAAACAAATCAACTGAAGCTGCATGCAAATCTTTGACATGTCCAAAATAACAGCTATAACTTACTGTTTGGGGATAATTTAGTAATCTTTAAAGCATTCTGTCAATAAATTTTAGTCAAAATTGAAATAAAAGTTAAAAAAATAATAATTTAATTGGTGTGAAACCATAAGACCAGATTAGCCATTGGTGACACATAGATTGTGCAGATTTTAGCACTGTACAGTGTTGTAATTATGTTTGCATAATTATTTTTTTATAAAATCAAATGTATTGATCTGTCCCTTCAGTCAAGCCCAGCAAGCAGTACAGCTGTGGCTCTGTGGTGATGGTGGATGAGATGATGAATGCCAGCCCTTCAAAGTTCAGGTTTCCAGAAGCAGGTCTCAGAGTCATGGTCACCAGCCACTTTGGACCGAAAACCCGTCTGCGCATGGCCAGTCGGCTCATCATCACGGAGGTAAAGCAATCGTTCTTACTTCAGTCGACGGCTCTTTTGGAGTTGGCGAGCCTAAAATGAGTCTTGATGCTGTTTTTTCATCTGTCTGCAGAAGTGAGCTCAGTTTGAAACAGATTTTTATAGCGTGCTTTGCTCCCGAGTGCTTTGACTTAGGTAATTTTTTTTTTTTCTGAAAGCGCCAGAAGTTGGTGCAAGCATCCAATGGTGTGGAGACACAAGTGACTGATGGAAAGATTGAAATAGAGAACGGGAACGTGCCAGAGGACAAACCCACCGAGGCAGAGCAAAGTGAATCCATCTCTCCGTTTCACATCCCAAGTATGTGATTTTTTTTTTTTTTTTTTTTTTTTTTGTGTTCAATTGATGCATGTGTGGACGGATGCTCGAGAGGTGTAAAAATTAGATTTTTACATGTCGGCCATGTTTCAGAACCTGTCTTGCATTCCTCTAAGTACTAAATGGAAAAACCTGGGCTGTTCTGAGGTGTTTTCAGTTGGTTTCTTTTTGCTTCAGTAGTTCATATCTTCTCTCTCATGAACTAAAGATGCACTAATGATCATCTCTAGCAGCCCAGAAAGGTGCTGCCCTTGGAGACTGCTGTTCTGAAAAGACTGAAATGGATCAGACATGTATTGACATGGAAGAATTTCCTGTTGTATTACATGGAGCTGCTAAAGTGAAGCAGAACGTTTTTTTCTTTACGGTGAACAGTGAGTGCTGTTTGGATTAAAGCATTTTTCCTTTTGGTGGAAAATGACAAACGTGTTTATCCTGTTTTTGTACATACTAAAAAAAATGCACATTGCTGACATCACTCATGTCAAAGCTTTTTTTTTTTTCTTTGCTGCTTTTGCTGAGAAGGAATGAAGTTAAACCCGTCTTGGTCAAACCTTGTTACTGGCGTTGGGCTCAGTCTAGTGTGGTTTTTGTCACCCCCTTGTCTAAAATATTCTGGGAGGTAGATGGGGAGTAGCCAGCACCAGACCTGTATTCAGGCCTTTTGTTATAAAAGTGCAGGAAGTACAGCAGGTGACTGAATTTAAATACCTCGGAACAATAATGGACAAGTTGACTTCTCGGCCCAACACTGACTGTCTTTACAAAAAATCCAGACAGTGTCTCCTCCTCCTATATAAGCTAAGGAGCTTTAATGCTAGCAAAAATACCTTGCAACTGGTGTACAGGTCACTGGTTGAAACGGTGTTTCCTTTAATATTGTCTCATGGTATGGGAATCTTCTAGCCAGAGATTGGAATAAATTGTCCCAGGTGGTCAAACTAGGTAGTAAAATCACTGGTCAACAAATGCAACAGACCTGTACAGTCAGGCTCTAGAAAAAAAAAAAAAAGGCAATACAGGTTTACAATGACCCAGTTCATTCACTGCAACCATTATTCAGGTTGGTACCATCTGGCAGTCGACTGGTGGTTCCTCTGGTAAAGAAAAATGGGTAAAAGGTCATTTGTTCCCTCTGCTGTGATTGTTCTCAACAGTCCTATTTAAACGTAGCCTCGCATGACAAACCATTTTACGTTTTTATTAATCATGCATTATATTGGGTTGGCAACGCTTTTTAAAGTTTTATGGCATTTTTAACTTGTGGTGTTTTGCATGAAATGGATGTCAAAGATGAATCTCCATCTCATGAAATGTTATAGACGGGAAAGTTAAATTGATTGATTGTGCTCAGAGTAGATGTAAAAAATGACTTTCAGGCAGCTTGTACAGATATTCAGCTAAAGTTTGGTGGCACTGTTGACTGGGTTATAGCCATTTTTGTGTTTGATATCATCTGTGGCCTAAATCTTAAATCACTGACTTAAAAAGTTTATCAGTTATAGATAATAGATATACACCCAGTGATTACTTTCCAAGAGATTCTTAAACATCCCCACAGTGATTCCTGATGCATTTGTCTGACTGCGCACACAGAGGTAATCAAAAACATTATTTTTCCTTCAGTGGCAGGTGAGCTGCGTGTTTTGAAAAGGTAGAACTGTTAGTTTGGTGTAAAATGCAAATGCTGAATGTAAAGTGTAGAAAAACCATCATGGAGGTGGTCCAGAAATCAGGATGAGTAGATGTGCACCGCAGTGCTGACAGGTTGATCTGTTCAAGAATAGTTGTACACAACTGGCGTCATCAGCAGGACTTTAAATGAAACAAAGTTGAGCAGAAGTGCTTTAAACAGTTTAGTTGCGAAGTGTTACACGAACGCAACAACCTCCTTTTTAACTGTTCTATACTGAAGCTGATAACGGCTGATCGGCTGCAGTCTTCATTTTCTGCTCCATCTGTCATTTTACGAGACGTCTTTAGTATTCTCAAATGAAATGTCGAACTTCGCTGCACGTTTAAGAGAAAAATCTTATTAAAGAACTTGAATCCGAGTGAGAAACTGCTCTTCGTGCTGCAAAAACATAAGTGTGCTTATCTCAAGCTAATTGTTCTCCTGCAGGTGGAATTGGCAGCAAGGTGAAGTGGTTGATCTCATGGCCCCTGCTCCTTCTGCTCTACTTCACTGTCCCAAACTGTGCCAAGCCTCGCTGGGAGAAATACTTCATGGTCTCCTTCCTCCTCTCTACGGTCTGGATTGCGGTTTTCTCCTACCTAATGGTCTGGATGGTAAGCATGAAATGTATTTGGAAGGGATTTTTGCGTCTCTTAAATTCTTCACTTATTGCTCTTCCTCAGAATGAGTGAACATGGACACAAGACACCGGTTTGTTTTGCTTGATTGTGGTGCAGAAATGAACACTTCTTGTGCGGGGAAGAACTTTTCCATGTTTCTGTGAACACAATGCTGTTTTGGACTAAACAGTTTTTTTTGTTTGTTTTTAACTTTTCCGTTGTATTGGTATAGACTATTGCTTGATATACATTTTTTTATTTTGGTAGAAATGTAAATGCATTTGTTAAAGACAAAAATAACATGTGGCTTGTTTTCCAATATATGTATACATCTAGTTCTCTTTAAAAATAAAAATCGAACTATAAAAATTATTTAAATGAATTAATGGGGGATTTTGTGTAGATAAGTACAAAAGAGTTAAAAATAAACGGCATCTTACCTGCACAGGATACATTTTCTCTCAAGCCTGTTTAAAAGGAGATTTTCCCTTTAAGGCCCTGTCTTCAGTTTGCAGCTTTGTGCTCCTAAAATTCCATTTGCATTAGGATACAAGGCTGAAGAAACATCAACAAAAGTTGCTTTGATCGCCCTCAAACGATGACGTTTTCATGAATAGTCGAGTAAAAAATGAGATTCTGTATATAGATACTGAAGCCTGCCCATCTTGGGGCAGAGTCTGGTGTATTGCAGCACATTCAGTTTGAGGTGTGGTGGTGAACCAATATGAAATTTAAGTTTGACTAAAATCCACTTTTAGATTAATCTGAAGTTTCTCACTCAACATACGTTTCATTCAAACTCTCCAAATTGAGATTGCTCTTCTATTGAACTTATGAAACTGATTTCTGATAACTTATGCCACAGAAATGCTGTTGGTCAATTCCCTCTTTAATAAAAAGGAATAAAATATACTTTAGTGACATTTATGAGGGGAAATTCTAACATTTGTGTTCAGGTTTAGTCTGAGCTATAAGTAATGGATGTTTGAAAGTATTTGTCCCTGTAATGATTCCCTACCCCCCTAAGAGTTTCCATAAAAAAAAAAAAAAGAACCTTTAAACGAAGACAAAGGAGGAAACTGTGTAATCTTTGACTTTGGGGTTTCAGGTCACTATAATTGGCTACACTCTGGGAATCCCAGATGTCATCATGGGCATCACGTTTCTGGCAGCGGGCACAAGCGTTCCAGACTGCATAGCCAGTCTCATTGTGGCTCGGCAAGGTATAAGTTTACCACTTGAAAGGATTTTAATAATAGAAACTGTTCAGGTCTGCTGGGCTTTCCAAAGGATGTTAAGTGTTTTTACCCTTTTGATTCATTAGACTCTCAAATTTCTTCTGTACACATTTTATATTTCCAATACGTGTTCATAATTCAGCAGACCATTCAACAGTAACATAATTTAACAAGTTTATAAAACAATTTGCACTGATTGCAAATGGTTCAAATATAATCAGTTTGGTAATTTCTTTTTATAACTTTTGTTTCAGGTCTGGGCGACATGGCGGTGTCAAATACAATTGGCAGTAACGTGTTTGACATTTTAGTTGGACTTGGGGTTCCCTGGGCGATGCAGACCATGTGCGTCGACTATGGATCGGAGGTGAGTTAACATGTCGGACCGTACCATTTTTTTATCGAGAACCTGAAAAAACTAAAGTCTGGTATATTTTGTTTAATTAAGGAGCCTCAGGTATCCCTTGGTTTCGTTTCAGGTGATGATCAACAGTCGGGGCTTGGTGTACTCTGTGGTGCTCCTGCTGGGCTCTGTGGCACTCACGGTGAGTATACACTGGTTCAAGCTAAAGTAGTGCATGCTCAGTTTTTACAAGTAAAGTTTACTGCAGAGATGTCGTACAGCTGAAGTAAAGACTCTAGACCTAACTTTTACATCCACAGTGTGCATTCTACCTTGAATTGGTTCTCTACGGGTTTTTTAAACTGGCGTGTTATTTTTTTATTTTTTAACTGCTTAATGTTGGTCTAGTGGGGAAAAAACCAGTAAACAAATTGAAATAAATTTTACCCAACAAATGAACCTTTTTGCTTTGTCATAATTCAATTCAGTTTATTTATATAGCGCCAAATCACAACAGAAGTTGTCTCAGGGCACTGACCAGAAACATTCCCATACATACAAAAGCATTTGGTGGGGAAAAAAATAAATAAATTTAAGGAAGCCAGCACTCATTGAATCTTCACTTCATCGCAGTCTCACATCCTGAGCAAGCACAAAGGCAACAGTGGAAAGGAAAAACTCCCTTTAACGGGAAGAAACCTCCAGCAGAACCAGGCTCAGGACAAGCGACCATCTGCTTCGACCGGCTGGGTTTGAGAGGAACAGGAAGGAAAAGCAAATGAGCACAGAATGGCAGGGCCAGGTGTAGATGCAGGTGTACCTCCTATTGGAAGAAAGACAAAAAAAAAAAAACACGTCGAGGATAGAAACAATTACGAATACGAAACAAGTAGAAAGACAAAACGGGCAGCAGTGTGAAGAAATGTGGTCAGTTTGTCCTCCGGCAGTCTAAGCCTAGAGCAGCGTAACTAAAAGATGGCTCGGGAAACCCAAGTCGATCCTAACTATAGGATTTATCAAAAAGGAAAGACTTGAGCCTAATTTAAAAAATAGACCATGTCAATCTCACAGACATAAACTGGAAGTGGGTTCCACAAGAGAGGAGCCTGATAATCAAAAGCTCTGTCTACCATTCTGCGTTTGGAAACTCTAGGAACCACAAGTAAACCTGCAATCTGAGAGTGAAGTGCTCTATTTGGCACAATTAATCAATTTCAGAAACTTGTATCCTGGGATCCTCACCTCAAACCATAAGCAACTACTTCATTGAGTGGGAATAAACAGTAAGTCAACAGACGATTCATGGCCTGTCCGGTCTGCTCAAAGATTTTTTTAATTTACCTAATATGAAAATATTACAACTCTTAAGTTTTGATGCATTTTAAAATATTTGACTTCCTGCACAAAAACTAACTCAAATCTACTGCTACAAAATTATTACTGTACCAATTTTCACATTAAAATGGTCCATTGTTGTGTGCAGGACCAACCATTTTGCTTTGCTCGTGTGTGTGCAGGTGCTGGGGATCCATCTGAACAAGTGGCAGCTGGATTTCAAACTGGGGGTGTACGTCCTCGCCCTGTACGCAGTCTTTCTCTGCTTCTCCATCATGATAGAGTACAACGTCTTCACGTTCGTCAACCTGCCCATGTGCATGGAGGAGTAGAGCACAGCAGCATGCCTCGAATACCAAAACTTCAACGGCCCCGAAAAACGAACGCCCATCTTTTTTTTTTTTTTTTTTTTTTCGGAAAACTCTGGACCAATTTTCCTTCCTTGCTTGCGGTCTTTCTTTATAAATGTTTCTAAAAATGAATATAATTTTCTTAAGACTGTATGCTCTAATGTTGGCATCAACGGTGTCTTGAAAACGTCCTGTTGTCACAAAGAGCCGATCCTTTATCCCCGTTTGTTTTTCAGGCATATTTAGTCACTACTTCAGTTCCTCTTTATGCCTAACTTCCTACCCATCCAGCATGCCTTTTTGTGCGAGGGCGACCTCCAGAATCTCAAGTGCCCCTGCTAATTGGTGTTTTCACTGTTCACATCTTAAATTTTCTACCATTAATTCTAAAGCCTTTTCAAAAACTAAATTGGTGAAGGAAAAGGCGTCCTGCAACAAATCCTTATTGAAATCCCAAAAGAATAGAAAGTTAAGAATTCTACAAAGCACTTTTTCCTCTTTTAGCCCAAAATAGAAGGAGTGGTGGGGATACAGGTCTCCTTTAGCTTGGACCTGTCTCCCATGGCATGGCCTCAGAAAACAGGGAGCAGATTCTTGATGCTTTACTTCCCCCTTCTCTTGCCCTGTGGAGCTCCAATCATGGCCGGCCAGATGAAATCTGCTTCGTTTTTCTTAAAAGAAGAAGAAGAAAAAAAGGACCTTTAGTCTGGACACTTTAAGATGCATTGCAGTATGGCTCAGCTGACTGATGACATTATGCATCTGCACCAGTGCACAATGTAAATTTGTAAACACTTTATTTTGTATTTATTTTTTCAAAAAGTAGTTTTGTCTAGTTTAAAATATAGAGAAGAGTTTATTGCTTATATGGGACATTTGCTTGTCTTTTACACAAAAAAAACCCTTGATTGCACATGAAAACGCTTTCTTGCTTTGACAAATCCAGCGTAATCTTCAGTCTTTGAGTTAATTTTCTTCAGCACAAGATGAACGAGGGAGGAGGCTCCGTCTGATGGCTGCATCTCATCTCTCATCAGAAGAGTGCGTTTTCATTTTAAGGTGTGATGGTAGATGCTCAGCAAGTGCAAAGAAACCGGACGACACTCCGTGAGGTCTGGGATGCTCTCCGGCCAGCAGGGGTCGCTGCAGCTCCTGCTGGTGCAGAAGAGGCAGCTTTATCAGGAGAACAGGAGGAAGAACTTCAGGAGGTGATGGGCTCTTTATTTTTTTGGTTTTCATTGTATGTAGATATTGCACTTTAACAGCCATCCTCTTATTCTGAATCAACTAGTGCTTCCTTCTGTGCGTTTGTACTTTCAGTGTAAGTGTGTGCGTGCGTGAAAGTGTGTGTGTGTGCGTGCGTGCGTGTGCTCCTTTTTGGGCTCATGTTTCTGAAAAGACTGGAACCTTATTAACAATGTGAGCACACCTGTCTCTGTCTGCAGTGCATGCTGGGACAGTAAAACAGCTCCTCCTCCAGAGCACAGCAAAATGCTGAGGGCTACTATGGCGGTTTCCATGGATACTGCCTAGTCCACTTTAAATAATTAAATAAAAAAGCAGCTTAAGGACTGCAATCCAGATGTTTTGACATAATGCAAAAATGCCCATGTGGAGTCGACAAGTGGGGGGCGGGGGTGCAGAGACTAAAGTTAAGCTTGTGTGAATGTGCAGAGTGTTTAAGTGTTGAAACTTATCCCCCCCTCGTCGTATTGTTGGCCAAAAGGGGGGCACTTGTATATGCAATCTAAATGTATAAAATCTGTGACAAAGGCCCCCGCGAGGTTGCCATATAAAGATGGGGGGGGGCATCCCATGGAGATGTGATGTCGCTTTGTCCAGTGATGTATGAGCTCACACGTGTGCGACAGCAGAGGAACTGTGCGTAGAAGAATGGACGTAGGAGCAGTGGCTTTGAGAATTTCATCTCCAATTTTTATTTCTCCTCCTCCACTTTTGCACAAGGGCATTAACGACCTGTCGGCCCCCCGCTGAAGGAGCAGAGGGGGCATGACTGTACATGACTTAACTGCCCTCTGGACTCTTACATTTTAATAAACTGGAGAGCAGACTTAAAAGAAAACTTTCAAACTGTGGAACCCTGAGCTCTAGGGCTGTGTTCACCGGAGATCCTGCAGGGCCCACAGACTCCTCCACACCCTGTTTAGTTACAAAACGTGCAAAGCTTTTTACATGGGTTTTCTACAAAAACAAAAAATACAAATAAAAATGCATGTCGTTTGATTTGAATGTTCAGAAATGGGGGGGTTGTTATTTCTTGACAGTAACGTGGCAGCTGTCAGAGGTTTAAACAGCGCTTTTTGTCCTAATCATATCAACAATTGCACTTTTCGTTACAAAGTCACTTTGGAAGAGAACGGGAGAGAGCTTTGATGCCACATTTGTCGTGGCTCTGCACACGTCCAGATTGTACGGACATCCTGTGTACAAAGAAGCCCACACGCTTGAAGGACACACTTTAGGAATGGCAGTTTGACACGAGAGGACCGGTATTTATTGACTGAATGCGACCTGATGCACTGTGAGCTCAATGTGATGTTTGGAGTTGTTTGTCAAAGAGTAATAAATGATCAAAATATATTTAATGTAAAGTTAGTTACTATTAAAAAAAAAATAACTGAAGACATCTGTATAACTTCAATGAATGTATTGTCTTGCTATACTGGACATATCCAACCAATGCATTTTACTGTAAAGCAATAATGTGAAGAAAAAAAAATTAAATGGAAAAGAAACTCCTGTTTTGTCTCAAATGTGTGAAGTCCTTTTATTTCTACAAATATTTTCATGAGTAAGTTCTGTTTGGTTTGGTTTGCTAACACGAGTATTAAACCAACTTTTCCACTTTGACATTACCTCATTACCTGCTTAAGATCCCAATCTTTTAAAAGTATAATGTACAGATGTCTGTTTTTAGCTGTGGGCTTGTCCAATGGCATCTTCAGTAGATCATAAAATTCAGATTCTTTAACACATCCACATGTCCAGTGGAACATTTTAATAATTTATCATTATAATTACATTTTTTTTTAATTTTTTTAATTTTACCAGAAATTCAATCTAAATGCTTGTCATTTTATAGAAAAGCTCTTGTAGACCGTTTTTCAAGGACACAACTGTTAAAAATTGCCATCACTCTCTCACTTTGTTGATAGTCCCCGCCCCCCCAGTGACAAATTTGAGCATTTTCTTTGTACTGCAAACTCTTTAAGGTCTCATGTCAAGAGATATTGAGGTCTGGACTTTGACGTGGCTTCTGCAAAACGGTCACCTTGAATAACAAACTCCATGCTCGATAATCCAGGTATACAATCCAACATTTTTCAATCGGGTCATCTGGACGGTTTCTTTTTTTTTTTTTTGTGCTTAAACGTTTCGCCTTCGATCCGGAAGGCTTTGTTTTCAACCAGTTTGACACGACTATCAACAAGGAAGAGGGCTGGCAATGGAGGGGCCGTACCAAAGAGACCATCTTATCACAAACAAAACTGGTTTGTTCCACTTTAAAGTAAGCTGTTGGGGGAAGAATCAGTTTTGCGTTGTTTCCTTGACTGATGAAGCCTTCTGGATCGAAGGCAAAACATTTCAGCACAAAAACACTGTCCAGATGACCTGACTGAAAAATGTTGGAGTCACCTTGAATATTTGTTTTATGCTGGGTAGAACAATCGAGACCCTGCTGGAGATGGGACTAAACACTGAAGCCTTTCCAGGGGTGGCAAACTCGTTTATAAAAGAGGGGTCAAAATAAAACCTTTCTCAAACAAAGGGCCACTTTCAGAATCTACATTAACTCAAGTTGATACCAAACATGTTTTCTTGGTTGCAGGTTCCTCGAGAGTTTGGTCTCATTTGACGTCTTCTGCTGCACTTTTGACATAATCGGATAACGGTATTTTTCGGCCTATAAGTTGCAGCGTTTTGCATAATTTACATCCTCTGTCTCTTATACACCCAAGTGACTAGTTTTATTTTTTCCATATTTATAAACCAATGTTTGGCTAATATATATTTTTCCATTCATTCTGAAATTGAAAATATTGAACACTGCTATTTTCAGTTGCTAGATGGTACTCCGATATGGCATGCCGTTGTGTCATGTAACAGGTAAAAGTGGCTATTGACAATCGGCTTGCCATACACTGACAACTTTGTCCTGCTCTGGGATCATGCCTGGAGAAATCGTCAAATCAGCTTAATTTCGCTGCACCGCCCTGGCGAAATACAGCTAATTTGACCATTGAAGTGCATTTATTAAGTAAAAGTTCAACAGACACAACCTTGTTATAATGTCGAGTAAACAAATAGTTTTTAGGTGCTTGTTAAATTTCAAAGAAATGCACAGCGTTCCTTCCTGATTTTCTCCCTCTGCGTGCACACGACGCACCGAGGCAGAGAATACTTTTGAAATGCAGCAGATTTGATTGTCAAAGTGCATTTATTAAGGAAAAGTTGAACTGAGATGCACCTTTGCTAGAATTGCGAGCAAACTGTTAATCTTGTTGAATTCTTGTTGAAGTCCTCCCGTGCACGCTCCCGTGTCGCCATTTGGCAGCCAATCGATTTTTGGCACACCAGCTCACATTTCCTGGTTGTTGTCAGCAGTGACTCATAATAGATGCAACATATTAATGTATTTTCCACTTTCGGACGTATTTAGACTGATGTGACTTATACGGCAATGCGACATGTATGACGGAAAATATAGTACTGTAAAAATTCAAGTGATAAAAGAAATTTACGGTAACGTGGGGCCAGATAAAATGTTGACTAGGGCCACATTTGGCCCCTGGGCCTTGAACTTGACAGGTGCTTTAAACTGGGTTCCCTCCAGTGGCTGCAGTAAAGTCCTGCCCCTCCAGATAAATAAATGGGACATTATTCTAAGTGTGTGCGAATAATTAACACTTCAGCTACCTATTCAGTTATTTTTTTGATTCGCACAATTGCTGCTTTGTGTTCAAACGTGTATTTTTAAAAAATTTTTAATGACTTTGGTTTCAATCAAGGGTTACGTGTTATTACATTTGGACAGTGACAGCGAGTTACAGTGTGTAGGCTGGGGACATGGGACTTTACCTCAAAACAAAGGTCCAATGCACAAGCTTTGGTTCCAAAGTTACACGGCCGCTCTTAAATAGACA